TATACTATAAATGGTGTACATAATATACTACAAATGGAAGAGAGGGACGCACGTCATGATGGGAGGAAACTAAGGAAAGCAACTGCTTCTACACACACACACACACACACACACACACACACACACACACAGACACACACACACACAGAGAGAGAGAGAGAGAGAGAGAGAGAATGTGCGTGCTTCAGTTACAAGTTCTTTTCTGCTTGAGCCTCATATCAGCGTAATGTAATTCCAAAGAGTATGAATAAATTTCAATGAAATGATCTGTTTCTATGTTTCTGTTGCCGGGGGAGGAAGGGGAGGGTATTGGCTTTTCCCCCAAAAAAAGAAAAAAAAAGAAAAAAGAAAAAAAAAAGAAAAAAAAAAAGGGGAGGGTAGCTCCGGGCTATAACCTTGTAACTGCTCTGTAAGTCACTTCCGAGTGTGCTGTTGGTGAAGAAGGCAGCAAGGATATCCAGAAGGGCGAGATTGGATCTCGGTTGGCTCTCGCTTGTGACACATTGATGAGATGGTCAATCAAATTTTTTGATTTTTTTTCTTCTTTTCTTTCTGGTCTAGTTTTTTTTTTCAATGGTTGATTTGCTCTCAGGCTGCCGCACGGTGTTCATTCCATCTTTTCTTTCTGCAATGGTGCGCCATTGGATGGCCCAAAATTCCTGATGCAAAACCACGGCTTCTGTGCAATCAGGGTGAGAGCCTGAGAGGTGGGGTAAATCAACGACCGACAAGTGAAATTGGACAGTTGCAGTCTGGCAAGGCGAGATATATTAGGCAGATAAAAAAAGGGGATTCGTAACGGTTCGTATGACGACTTAAATCACCAGTCCTATTCCCCGAGCTTTCCGTTTGCAGCCCGCACATGCTTGGGTGTCCACGCCCTCGGGACGGAAAAAGGCTGGGTGGAGTTTGGCAAAAAGAGAGAATTGTGTCTCTGTCCGAGTTTGTTTTGTTGTGGCACTCTGCACAGATAAAACGGCTCGAAAAAAAGATAAGCTGAGATGGACTGGTGGTTGAAGTGCACAAGAACAAAAGCCGAGGATGAATGTAGTCAGAACTACTGAGCATGATGCATACCATGCAAAACATGGATCATGCAAATATGCTTTCTTGAGCTTACGTAATCCATCAAGCAAGGAGATTGTGGTTATTGCTGCCGTCATCGACGGAACAAAACAGTCAAATATTTTAACAATCGATCTTAAGGAGATGTGTTTATTGCTGCCGTCATCGATGGAACAAAACACCCAAATATTTTAATAATCAATCTTTTTTTATTTATTTAAACGTTTAAGAGAATTAGCCCTTAAGGAGATGTGGTTATTGTTGTCGTCATCGACGGAACAAAACGCTCAAATATTTTTACAATCCATCTCAAGGAGATGTGGTTATTGCTGCCGTCATCGGCGGAACACAACACACAAACATTTTAACAATCGATCTTTCCAGTCGGGTGTAGCCAAAATGAAGGTGCCCGGCCTTCGGCATCTCCGTTGAAATTGGAGCAATACAGAAAAGGGGTTGGCATGGCCCCTGCACACAGATGACACACATGAATCGAGAAATGGTCAACGGAAGGAAAAAAAAAAAAAAAAAAAAAGGAGGAGGATTCGAACTTGTGTGTTTGTGGACTGTTGCGGGTATAACGAACAAGCACCCATTCATCTCCGGTACACGCGTTCCACATGTAAGATTGCCCTTAAATATATTTTCTTCCCTCTTCATAATTTGTTAAGAAAGGGGGGGTTTGGGGGGGAAGAAAGGCAAAAGAACATGTGCCCTGCCTTTACCTACAGGTATGTGAAACAAATGCGAGATCACGATGAACCCAAGATCTGGATCAACTGTGTGGACCCCGGAACTCTCTTCCTTGCCCCCCC